CCTTTAGGAGTGTTTTCCAGTCCAGTCTGTTGGGGCTCCATGCCCTGGCCTCAAAGTCCACCTTCAGGGTTCCCTGGGGACCTTGCCACTCTGTTCCCTTGCTGTTCTGTTGCACCCCCTTACTGCTTTGCCTCGGTGTGGCTGGATCAGATCGGGTGCAATTCCCTTACTGTTTCTCCGGTGTTGCCTCCTGTAGGACTATGGGTTAGTGAGGGGCGTCATGTCTCATAGTGGGGCCGGATATGTGGTACTTTCTGTGGACTGGCTGCTCTAATTGGGAACATCGTCCTCAGCCTGGTGGGCCAGGATGTGCTCCACTCTCTCCTCCTCCCCCTTCAACTGCTCCCGTGTGCTCTGATCAGATATGTCCCTCTCCCAGAGCTGCAGATTCAATGCCGTCCTTTGAAATAAATTCTTCTGGGGGGATTCTTCATATCTACTTGCTATATTGTCACTCTTCTTAAAGTTTTGTAGATAATGTTTTGTTGTCTGTCTCCCAGAGAGCAGATAGGTTGTTGTCTCATTTGTCTGTATATTCCTTGGTTCTCGCACAGTGTGTGTTCTATAGTTGAAGCCGAATAAGTACATGGGCTGTTATTATGGGTTATTATTATGAATATAAAGTTTAAAATTTTAAAAATCTTAGAACAAGACAATTTTAGTATAATATGTCTTTAAAACCCCCAAACTTTTTATTCATTGTGAATTGGATGAAGATTTACACTGTAGATCCATTTTCTATTCAACAATTCCTATATATTTTTCTTTATCTCAATGACTACAGTTTCCATAATGTTACATCACTTATCCCCCTTCCTTCCTCTGTTTCTTGTTTCCATTACTACTTTTTCTTTCCTAACCCTTGTCCTTGAGTAAAGGTGCCCCTTTGATCTCCTATGGTTGATTTCTCTAATGTGTCTCTTCCTCACTAATGTTCTTGCTCCTTTTATTGACCTGTCTATTGTTTGGCTGAAAATTGAGCCAGGGGGTGAGTTCATTTCCAGAATGGAAGGGTAACTAAGGATCATAATCTCAGGTTCTCAGCCCTCTCTTTAGGATAATCTATCTTTTTCTCTCACTGTTTACTAGGAACTAGATAAGTATGTACAACACCATGATTTCTTAAATGCAAGAAGAAAAGAGATGTTATATAAGAGATGGATTGATCATGTGGCAGATCCTCTCCAGAAGAAAATTATAGAAAAAGTCTGTTCACATAAGAAGATTAAGCAGAGGAGACAAGAGGAACTCGAGGACTTTTTACAATATGTAAATAAAAAGGTACTAAGAGGTCATGTAATATTTTCTTCAGTTGGTTTAAAGACTATGGCCATCTTAGGTCTTTATTAATCATCTGAGATAGTTAAAGTGTATTGTGCTAACCTGGCTGATAAACACATGTGGGGTTAATTGAAGGGCGGAGGGATAAATGCTCGGTGAGCCTTGCCTTTCTAGTTCTCGGGTCTCTTGCTTTCTGATGGTCGGACCAGGTAGTAGCTTCCTTAGCAGTTCCCTGCTTCAGCTGTCTAGACTCACTTCCTGCAAGACATCCCTGAGGAAAAGCCACATGGACCTACCCCAATGCAGTCCTGGGTGCTGGAGCAGCTGTGTGGAGACCCCTGCCAGCATTGAGATGCTAACACGCTTACTGATTCAGCTTTACTCCTACAGTCAGTGTCATTGGGTGTGTTTTGTGAGATTGAGGAGGACTCTGTAGATGGGTGTTGGACATATGGGTAAATGTTGGGTTTATGGGCTTGGGTAGCACTGGGTTGGGATGCTTTCTTAATGTATACTTACCCTTTATATAAAACTCTCTCTTATACATATGAGTTTCTGTGGATTTGTTTCTCTAATGTACCCAGACTAACACATCATCCAAACAGCTTTTGCCTTCCCTTCTACATAATGATATGAAGACAAGTAAAAAAAATAAGCACACGTACTAGAGTTTTGGTTCATACGTGTGTTGTTTTATTCCAAACAACATGCTTCAATAGGTCTCTGTGATCAGCAAATGGCTGCAAACAAGTTTTCTCAGAAGTTTGAGCATTGTTAGGGGGTCTGGGGAAAAAGAAACGTCCCATCAAAGCAGCAACGGCCTCCTGGACCAGTTAAATTCAAGACAGAGAGGTCCGCTCTTAAGTGAAAACTGTGTATGCTGTTCTGTTTTTGGAGGGGGAGATTCCAAAGGAGTAATCATGGTAGATTTCCTTAAAGGATGTAGGATGATCACAGGGGCTTATTAGGGAGAATGTTAAGGAAATATAAAACTGCATTGGCAAGGAAAAAGCCAGGGAAGTTGAGTCAAGTATTGCTTCCTCATTTTGACAATGCACCTGCTTATTCCTTGAGGGCAGCAAAGTCTGTCTTGTGAGGTGTTTTTGTTGGAAGCCTTACCCCAACCACTCCACAGCTTGGATCTTGCTCCCTCGGATTTGATTTTCTTCCCAACCAACGAAAGTTCAACGGAGCATGATCTGAGTCCCTGGGAGACGTCCACATTGCCATTTCTGTGTGGTGTCAGTTGAGCACGGAATTCTTTGAGGAAGAGTTAGAGAAGTGGAAACCCGCCTTCAGAAGTATTTAGACTTAGATTGAGGATATGTGGAGAAACATATTTAGTTTGTTTAATAAAGGTTTCTATGATTTGTAGTAATACTTTTTAATTTACCTTATCTAAGGGGGTACCCCCGCAAAATGGAATATTTTTTTCAAAGCTATGTATTTAAATTTTTTTCCCAAAGCAACCTTATCACCCTCAAAGTACTCCCCATTACACTAATACAATTGTCAAATCTGCAATTTCATTCTTGGAAACACTTTTCTTTTTTTCTTTTAAGTCATTTTATTGGGGGCTTGTACAACTCTTGTCACAATCCATACATACATCCATTGTGTCAAGCACATTTGTACATTTGTCGCCATCATCATTCTCAAAACATTTGCTTTCTGCTTGAGCCCTTGGTATCATTTCCTCATTTTTCCCCTCCCTCCCCGCCCCACCTCATGAACCCTTGATAATTTATAAATTATTTTTTACTTTGTCATGTCTTACACTGTCCAAAGTCTCTCTTCACCCACTTTTTTGTTGTCCGTCCCCCAGGGAGTGAGTTAAATGTAGATCCTTATAATCAGTTCCCCCTTTTTATCCCACCTTCCCTCCAACCTCCCAGTATCGCCACTCACACCACTGGTCCCGAAGGGATCATCCGTCCTGGATTCCCTGTGTTTCCAATTCCTATCTGTACCAGTGTACATCCTCTGGTCCAGCCAGATTTGTAAGGTAGAATTGGGATCATGATAGTGGATGGGGAGGAAGCACTTAGGAACTAGAGGTAGGTTGTACATTTCATCGTTGCTACACTGCACCCTGACTGGCTAGTTTCCTCCCTGAGACTCTTCTGTAAGGGGATGTCCAGTTGTCTGCAGATGGGCTTTGGCTACTCACTCCACACTGCTCCGCATTCTCAATGATAAGATTTTTGTTCTTTGAAGCCTGATAACTGATCCCTTCGGCACCTCGTGATCACACAGGCTGGTGTGCTTCTTCCATGTGGGCTTTGTTGCTTCTGAGCTAGATGGCCACTTGTTTATCTTCAAACCTTTAAGACCCCAGATGCTATATCCTTTGATAGCTGGGCACCATCAGCATTTTTCACCAACTTTTCTTGTGTGCCCGCTTTGTCTTCAGCGATTGTGTTGGGAAGATGAGCATCATGGAATGCCAGTTTAATAGAACAAAGTGTTCTTATGCTGAGGGAGTACTTGAGTGGAGGTCCAATGTCCATCTGCTACCTTAGTACTAAACCTTTAAATATATGCACATAGATCTATTTCCCCATCATCATATATATATTTACATATGTACATGTCTATATTTAGACCTCTATAAATGCCCTTTGCCTCTTAGTTCTTTCCTCTATTTCCTTTTACAGAAACATCTTCAAACTTATCTGTTTGGAAAGCTGACAGCACCTCCCTTTTTTGTGTGTGTGGATTTAAATATGCACATTGCAAGTTTTTTTCCTTTGTTTTTCCCATGTAATTTTAATTTATACTTAATTTATTATTTTTATTTACAATTTTTGTTGGGATGTAACACACATTGAGTAAATACAACTTAATGAAGTTTCACATATGAACAGAGTGGTGTGATCAGTACTGAGGTCAAGATAATTTTTTCTAGCACTGCACCCTCATCCAGTAGGGCTAAGTGCTATTCAGAATTCTCTGGCCATCTATTAATTTTCCCTATGCGTGTATGTCATGTGTAATCTCTGTGTAGTGTGAACAGCTAATGTGCTTAGCTGCTAACAGGGAGGGTGGTGGTTTGCTTCCACTCTGAGGCCTGATCTCCTTCCAGAGTAGCAGCCCCTGCAAGCCCTGTGGCATACGAGTTCTGCTTGGACATACGTCATGTAATCACCTACTGTACTGACCTATTAAAACACTCAACTCTCTAGTATCAGGACTAAGGAGCTTTGGTGGCATACTGGTTTACTTGTAAGTTGGCAACTAACTGTTCAAAACCACCAGGCTTTCCAAGCGAGCAAGATGAGGCCTTCTACTCCTGTAAACATTTCCCGTGTCAGAAACCCTTTGTGGCAGTTCCGCTTTGTCCTGTAGGGTCCCCATCACGTGTCAGAATTGACACCATGGCAGGGAGCTAGTTAAAATTAGATCTCATTTTTATTTTATTCTGGTACAAAATTATTTGTAAAAATGAATAGATATTTCTATTCTTATATATTTTTAAGAGATCTGAGATGTCCAGCTAATAAGCATTTAAATATGAACTTCTGAATCTTACTGATGGAAGTAATTTCCTTCCATCACTAGTATTTATTACCTGAATAGATGAAAGTTACTTTCAAAATTGGCCGTCTTTTCCCTTTTCTATTTGTTATTGATAGTATTTTGAAGCATAGAAATGTTGTTGTATATATATTAGATTATCAGGTTCTGTATTACTCAGAACTGATTGTGCACCTCTTGTACTTTCTTATGTGTGGTTTTATTTCTTTCCTATAGGGAAATGTATTTATAGAACATTATGATCCAAACGAATATGACCCTTTTTACATGACCAAAGAGGACCCCAATTTTCTGAAGGTAGGGTAGATCTCTTATTTTACCTTTAATACTATGGGTTGAGTTGTTTGAGTAGGCCTGTAGTATTTTCTGGGAGGAAGTAACATTTTAAGACAAATTTCCCTACACGTGGATGAAGCCTCTGGTGAGTCCCCTCTGACCAAGGACCAGGGATGTGAACAGCCTTGCTATCGTGCAGAGTGTTTTGGGAAGTGGATTATTGCAGATGTAGTTAAGTTAAACTGAACACTTTATTATTTGATCTCCCTTTTGATCCATTTTAAATTTGTTGTAGTTTTTAATATTTTCTACTTTCTTTTCAATTGAATTTTAATCTGTTTTTACCTTATTGTTTATTTTGGGGGGGGGCACAAAAATGGTTTTCTGTATATGAAATCCACAGTAGGTAAATGTATAGAGACAGTAATTGGATTAGTGTTACCTTGGGGTTATGGTAGGGCAGGTTGTGGGGAAATGGGGAGGTACTAATGATGAGTATAAGTATGAAGAAAATGTACTAAAATTGATTGTGGTGAGGGCTATACAACTTTTCTTGATATGATTGAACTATTGAATTGTGTGATATGTGAATTATATGCCAATAAAACTGTTAAAAAAGAGAATTATTTCCTAACTGTATTTTGTAGTTGTTAGGTACCCTCGAGTTGTTCTGACTCAAGCAACCTTTCTTAGAATGAAACGTTGCTCAGTCCTGAACATCCACACAATTGTCATCTTGGAGCACAGGGTTGCAGTCACTGTGTGAATCCATCTCACTGAGGGTCTTCCTCTTTTTCACCAACTTTCTATGTTACCAAGCACGGTATCCTTTCCAGGGACAGTCTCTCCTCATCTGCCCACAGCATTTGAGACCAGGTCTCACTGTCCTTGTTTCTAAGGAACATTCTGATTGTACTTCTGAGACAGATGAGTTGGTTCTTCCGGTAGCCATGGTACTTTGCATAACCTTCATGCCACATCCTCATCTGAACTGGCTTGTATTTCTAGATCTCCCTGTAGATGTACTGCTGCAACAGTTCTTGAGTTATCTTCACCAACATTTTGCTTATGATATTATTCAATATTTTTCACACTTTTTGTTCATTGTTATTTGGAATGGGCACAAATATGAATGTCTCAGTTGGTTGGCTAGATAGCTGTCTTCCAAATTTCTTGGCTTGAATGAGTGAGTACTTCCAGTGGTTCATCAGTTTATTGAAACCTTTCGATTGATATTCCATCTATGTCTGGAGCCTTGTTTCCTGTTATGTCTTCAGCTTGGGTTTCTTGCTTCAATAGCATTGGTTCTTGATCATATGCTATCTCTTGAAATGGTTGAATGTCAACTAGTTCTTTTTGGTACAGTGACTGTGTATTTCTCCTTCCATCTTCTTTTGATACTTCCTGCATTGATCAATATTTTGTTCTTTGGATCCTTCAGTAGTAAAACTTGAGGCTTGATTTTGTTTTGTTTTGTTTTATTTTTAGCTCTTTCAGCTTGAGAAGTGCTAGCCTTTTGGGCTCTCTAAGCCCAGGTGGTTGCACATTTCATTGTATTTCACTTTGTCTTCTTGAGCTCCCTTTTAACCTTGTCTGTTTGGCCCTTTTATTTAATCATTTCTTCGATTTGCTTTAACTACTCTACAGTCAAGAATAAGTTTCAGAATCTCTTTTGACATCAACTTTGGTATTTCCCCCCCTGTCTTTTTAATGATCTTTTGCTTTCTTTGTGGATGATGTTCTTGCTGTCATGTCACAGCTGAGGTCTTCTGTCACTAATGTTCAATGTGTCAAATCGGTTCTTGAGATATTTTGAGGATTCAGGTGGAAATATACTCAAGGTTGTGTTTTGGTTGTGAACTTCTTATAATTTTCTTCAACTACAGCCTAAACTTACACATGAGTAATTGTTCCACAGTCAGCCCCTGGCCTTTTTTGCCTGCTGATAGTGAGTGTCTGCATGGTCTTTTCCCACAGATGTAAACAATTTGGTGCCTGTGTGTTCCGTCTTGCACCTTCTATATGTATAATCTTCATATCTATTATTGACAAAAGGTATTTGCAATGATGAAGTTGTTGGTCTTGCAAAATCCTATCATGCAATCTCCAGTTTAGTTTCTATCACTAAGACCTATGTTTTTTAACTATGGTTCCTTCCTCTTTTAACATAACTTTCACATTCTAATCACCAGTAATTATCAATGCATCTTAATTGTGTGTTTGATCAATTCTAGACTTAAGAAGTTGATAGTATTCTTCAGCTTCTTCACCATTAACTTTAATTGTTGGTCTATACATTTGAATACCAGTTATATTAACTGGACTTCCTTGTAGGTATATAGATATTATCACAAACAACATTGAACTTCAAGATAGATCTTGAAATGTTCTTTTTTTTATCATCTTATTGGGGGCTTGTACAGCTCTTATCACAATTCATTGTGTCAAGCATGTTTATACATATGTTGCCATCATCATTTTCAAGAAATGTTCTTTTTTATTTTGCATACCACACTGTTACTCTTGAATCTATCATTCCCAGCACAGTAAACCTCTTTTCTGATTCAAAACTGCCAATATCAGTCCACATCAGTTCACTAATGCTTAGGATGTCCATTTTTATGCATTCTATGTCATTTGAACAACTTCCAGTTTTCCTAGACTCATATCTTGTGCACATTCTGATTAATTAAATGATGCTTGTAGCTGGGTTTTCCCCCCTCGTTTTGCATTGTGTCCCCTCAGCAATGAAAGTCCAGAAGCTTCTCTCCATCAGGCAGCTGTTCCTCAGGGCCTCATCCCCCGGCACGCTCTCTGACAAGAGGTCACTGCTGTCCATACGGTTTTCAGAAATGGACCATCTGTTTACTCTTCGCCATTGGTTCTTAGTCTTGAGGCTCCTCCTGAAATCTGTTCACCCTGGGAGACCCTGCTGGTATTTGAAATATCAGTGACATATCTTCCAGCCTCACAGTGATACACCAGCCACCACATTATGAAAAATTGACAGAGATGTGGTGATTTCCAGATCTTAGAGAGTAACAACAAAAAACCCCAAACCAATGTAAATAAAACCTAAGATTAAAAAACGATTCTATAAGAATTATAAAATATGATTATATAATTAAATACTTAAAATTTTTGTAAGCCTTCACATTTGTTTCAAAAGTAATATATTTTCACGATCAATATGAAAACTAATTTGAAATAAAGGGGGAGACCTTCATTATTCCATTACTTAGAATGATATCATACTAGACTTCCACTGGGCATTGTATGTCCAGTGGCCGATTCTCTGATTCTCCTACATGCATGCATAGACATACACTTTTTGGAAGAAGCATGTCACCACATTTCACATACAATTGCACCAACAGTGTGTGAGGGTTCAGATCCCTTTACATCTTCTCCATCATTTGCTATTTTATTTTTTGTTTTTGAACTCTGCAATTAGTCTGGTGAGAAGTGGTATCTCATCAGTGTTTTGATTTGTATCTCTTGAATGGCTAGTGATCATGAGCATTTTTTCATGTTTCTTGGTCTTTTGGCCTCTTGCAGTAGCATGTTGTAATTTTCTTCATACAAGTCTTGTTTCTCTGAGTGGCTTTATTCTTAGGTATTTCATCTTTTACATGGCTTTTTTTTTGACATGGCTCTGGTGAATGGTGTTGTTCCTTTGATTCCCTTTTAAGAGCTCTCTTCATTCGTGTACAGGAAACAGATTCAGTTTTGTGTGTTTATCTTGTACCCTGTCACGTTGCCAACTATTTCAGTTATCCCTAATGATTTTCTTGTCAAATCTTTGTGGCTTTCTACAATGGAATCATATATCTGTAAATAGAGACTTCTTCTTTGCCAATTTGGAAAAATGTAAGCTGTTAAGCCCCACATTTAAAACTTTGAAAAATTTATATGCCGTCATGAATGTGACAGCATCCCAATCTCAGACTTTATTGAGGAGGTCAGTAAAGACATTAATGATGTGATTTTATTGTATAATGGAACATATCAGCATTAGGAAGCTCTCACATAACTCTGTGGTCAATTTTTTTTCCAAATGAGGAATTTATGATGTTTCAGAGTCATGCACCGGCAGAGGATCTCTTCAAAAAGCAAGGTAGATGAATGGATTTCAGTCTAGCAGAGTATGAAAAGTTGATTTATATGGTTTCAGATTTTGCATTATATCCCTTAAGAAACTACTACTGGTCAAAGTTTGACTTGGTATTAAAGAAGAAAATCTACAATGACCTAAAAATGATATAAAAATATTGCTTCCTTTTCCAACTATATGACTGTATGGATTATCTTCATTTCCTTCAGCTAAAATAATTTATGCCAGTAAATTGAATGCAGAAACAGATATGGGACTTTGTCTTGTACTAAGCTAGATATTAAAGAGATTTATAAAACTGTAATCCAATGTCACGCTTTTCACAACTTTTTTTGCTTTAGAAAACATATTTATTTATATATTTGTAAAAGAAATGTTTATTTTTATTACAATATTACTACTACTATAACCAATTGCCATCAAGCCATTTGTAACTCCAGGTGACCCCATGCACACCAGAGTAAAACTTGCTCCATTGCATGTCCAGTGGCTGATTCTCTGGAAGCTGACCTTCAAAACCTTCATTTCAAGGCATCTCTGTGTGGACTCACACTTCCGACCTTCCGACCTTCGTAGCCAAACATATTAACCATTCGCACCCCAACGACTTTTCAGAATAACCCCAGGTGCTCTCCGCATTCCCCTCTGCTTCCCTCTGGACCCTCAGCCACATGGGGAAGGTGTGGCTCAAATGCACTCCTCCAAAAGATTCAATGGAAATGGCACTCAGTCTCTGCTATTCTTCTGGAACACACGAGCCTAACTACGAGTCAGATCCTACTGGAGGGATTTGGCAGGATCCTTCATCAGTATCCCTTACAGTCTAAACTGTCAAGATCATTAAAAATAAAGAAAGGTGGGAAAACTCTCTCAGCTGAGAGGAGATGGCGGAGTCGTGGCAATGAAATGTGATGGGATCCTTCACGTCTGCTGTTTTCTGTTGGTCACAGAGACTGATCTTGGTAAAATGCGGTGGTGGTGAGCCTGACCTGGCTCCACGTGACTTCTTTTCGTTTCTGTGAATGAAGAGGGGCATGTAAGGCCAGCGAATTGACAACATCAAACAGCTGAAATTCCTACTTCCTTCTTAGAAGTGGTCCATGTTGCTCCAACATAAAGTCTTACAGACACAGGAGCTAAATAACTGTTCTTTTTTTTTTAAAAATCATTTTCTTGGAGGCTCTCACAACTCTTACCACAATCCATCCATCGATCCATTGTTTCAAGCACATTTGTATATTTGTTGTCACCATCATTCTCAAAACATTTGCTTTCTGCTTGAGCCCTTGGTATCAACAAGTAACTGTTCTTGAGATCCTTCACTCACTCACTGCCATGGTGGTGATTCTGACCCATAGCTTTTTCTTATAAAAAGTCATGTTGAATGTAATTGGTTTAGCATTGTTTTGTTTTGTTTTTTTATTTTAAAAATAATTTTATTGGCTCGTACAGCTCTTACCACAATCTATACATACATTCATTGTGTCAAGCACACTTGTATATTGCTTTTTTAAAAATTTAATCATTTTATTTGGGGTTCGTACAACTCTTATCACAATCCATACACACATCCATTGTGTCAAGCAATTGTACATTTGTCGCCATCATCATTCTCAAAACATTTGATGTCTACTTGAGTCCTTGGTATCAGCTCCTCATTTTAAAAATTTTAAGTGAATTAATAAATCAACAATTTATTAACTTTTATTTTAAATTAGATGAAGGATTAAAAAGCAAACCCATTTTTTATTCAACAATTTATGTAATTTTTTTACACATTTTGTTTCATATCACTGATTGCAACCTTCACAGTGTAACATCACTTATCCCACCTACTCTTTATGTTTCCAATTTCCATTCCTCCTTTTTGCCTAACCCTTCTGAACTTTATCCTTGGACAAAGGCTGCCCTTGATCTCAAATGGTTGACTGTGCTGAGAAGTGTGAACCACCTTAGTGTTTAAATAAACAATTGAAGATATTCTTACTTTTAAGTTCCAATTTAGTAAATATGACTAATCCACAAGCACAAAAGCTTCTTAGAATTGATAATAAAAACAACAATCATCATCATCATAATGGGTTTTGAAATGAAAACGTTCAAGAATCACTGGGTTTATATCTCTACTCAAATTCTTGTGGTTTACACCTATACAAAGGAAACTACAAAATACAAGAAAAAAACCCGAGACCTATATAAATGGAAGAGTAGACCATACGCATGGATAGGAAGATTCAATGTTGTGAAAATGTTAACCATACCCAAAGTGATGTGTAGATATAATACACTTCCAATCCAAATTCCACCATCATTCTTTAAAGAGGTGTGAAAATGATGAATAGCCAATTTTATAGGGAAAGGAAAGAGATTCTGGATATTCAAAGCATTCCTAAAGAAAGAAAACAGAGGAGACCTTACACTATTCTATTTCCAAACCTATTACACAGCCACTCAAAACAACACTCAAAAAAGTGCTCAAAACAGTCTGGTACTCATGCCATGACAGACACATAGAGCAATGGAGCAAAACTGAGAACTTAAGAGTACATTCATATACCTGTGGACAAAGCGTTAAAATGAAGTCAGTGAGGGAGATAATCTCTAAGAAACGGTACTGGACAAACGATACCAATTCACAGAAAAATGAAACAGGACCCATATCTCTCACCATATGTAAAAATGAACTCACATAAAAGAATTTATTGATAGAAAAGGTTTTCTTAAAAGCTGGAAATGGAGATACTGGAAATCTCATTCACTGCTGGTGGGACGGCAAAGTGATGTAGCCATGTGGCAAAGAGTGTGGCACGTCTTTAAATGTTGGAAATATAAAGACCACATGATCCAGCAAT